CTACTACTCTACTCTCTCTCTCTCTCTCTCTCTCTCTCTCTCTCTCTCTCTCTCTCTCTCTCTCTCTCTCTCTCTCTTCTTTTTTCATACACACACACACATACACATACATACGCGCAGATTTCGTTTATTTCGAACAATAAATTAATTAACGTTATAATAAATTAATACAAAAGAAAGAACACTGTGGTATATTATTCGATTAAAACTAATTCGAATGAAAATATAATGCTAGAAAGATAGAAGAATGAAAAGAGAGCGGCGAAAGAATACTTACAGCAATTTACAACTTATAATTCATAGACTAACTATGCCTAACATTTATGGACATTTCATGTGATACACCAAGATTTATTGTACTCTTAAAATATCAGAAAATCATCGAATTTCTAAACGTTACTTCTAAAATTACTTTTTTTTTTTTTTTACTACAAGGAATACAATGATAATTGGTGAGACTATTAACCCTTTAATGCTCGTGAATTAAAATTCTGTTATGAATTATATACCATATATTTATAAAAGATAAAGAAATTTAGGATTATATTAGCACTTCTTTTCAAGTCTCATATTTATACTATGAAACGTATCTAATCACTTGGAGACAATATAATTATATATAAAAAGGAATTTCATTGCGTACACGTGATGCCAGTTCCTTTTTGTTTCGATTGATTCATAAATAAATGAAACAAATAAAATAATTGGAATACAAAGGAAATTCTGAAATGGTTTCACATATTAGCAGATCCAATGTCCCGTTACTAGTTAATAATTATCAAACATTTGAAATAATAAACTGCATTAAAACAAAACAAAATAAAAAAAAAGAATAACGACAATACAAAGTCTTCTTCGAAGACTTAAAGAGTTAAAAGTTCTCAAGATCAATTCGAAAGATCGATTTTAAATTAATTAACTACCTTTAATTTCACAAATTCGTGAAACGTATATGTACATCGAAACAATAGATACAAACCTGCTTAAAATGGCTCCTGGTACGTAGCAAACGCGACACGTTACCCTCACGTAACACGCGTTTATCGCGTGCTTCGATCACGAAAGTGTTAATTAGTCTCGATTCGTTGGCTTTCCGCTTCCTTCCGAGATGAAAAACAAAATGAAATAACGTAATAAAACGAGAAAAGAGGTGGGGGAGAGGAGGGGAGAAGTAATGTCGCCTGTGCGCGAAACGAACCTGCGAAACCTCGAAATCCTCCCGAAAAGGAGGAGAAAAGAATACTGATCTGCCCTTAACTCTATATCTATATCCGGCACGAATCTCGCCATCTCCTCGATTCAACGGCGTCCCAAAATTGCGTGTACCTTCGAAAGAGGAAGCGTGTCGCCCGCTCGCCCGCCGTTCCTCCAACTTCCCCGGAAGCTCGGCCGGAAATTCACACGGTGAATTCTTCTCGCGTGACATTTCCCTGATCCTCTCGATAGATCAAACAACTTACAACAACCGAACTTAATCCAATTAATCTAAACCTAACCTAACGAACAGTTTCATAATTTAATCCTCCAATTTCGCGTTTGGAATTTAATATATAATTATTATCTTAATCCTCGATCCGTTTTCCGATCGGTCGATCAGAAAGTCGATAGCGTGGATAATATCGATACGCGTCCCTCCGCGACACGTTCCACCAATCCGCGCGGTTTCCTTGGTTAGCGAGCACCTACGGAGAAAATGTACGACTCGTGTGCCGCGTAGGATCGGCCGATCGATCGATCGATCGCGCGCTACGACAACGCCAAAGAGCGATGGGTCTGGCCGTTGTACGATAGGGATTCCGTGTCCTCGAATCTCGCGTCCTCGTCCGCCAGATCGACGCCATAGTTGCTCGAGGTGTTGTCCTCCTCTGTAACAAAGGGGCAAAGCAAAAGGGTGGTTATTATTGAATTAAATCCTGTTTGATTGCGTCCCGCCTCGAGCCACGGCTCGATCGATTCGAAATTCGATCGTTATCTTCGATCGAAACGAATTGGAATAACGTTACGCGAGACTTTTTTTCTTGGGTAAATTTTTGCTCCTTCTTTCTTCTTCTTCTTCTTCTTCTTCTTCTTTTTTTTCTTTTTCTTCGGATCTGGTGGTGTGGTTATGGTCGATTTGTCGTATCGTGGGCGATAATGAATGCCGTTAAACTGGTTATCACGTATGATTTTATGCGTTTCTTCTCTTCTTCTCCTTCTGATCGTTATTATCGTGCTTGTTGATCGATGACGTGACACGTGAGCGGACGAGAAATTGAATTGTAAATGACACGCGAGAGTTAATTCATCTTTGCTTTCTACCATATGGTTATGGATAAGCGATATGGCGGATAGGGTAAAAGAGAAGATATATATATATATACGTGGAATAATTACGTATAATATTTTCACAAGTAATTTGACACGTTTCTAAGTTATTTAATTTAATTTAATATTAACACGATGCAAAGATAAAATTTTAATTTTTCTCTTGAACGTGACATTGAACTTAATCGATACGTTATTATTCTTGATAATAAATTTATAAACTAAGTTTAAAATATACTTTCATTTTAAACAAATTTTACAATATAAATGATTTTTAAAAATCATTCCATTTTGGAATCAAACGTTTGCATCAAACGATATCGAAATCGTTTTAATCACATCCTATGAAATTTTATTCTGTCGTTTTAGAATATGGCTAGGTACACGAGACATTCCATTATACTCTTTCAAAGAAACCGCGCTTAAAGTTTTATTTGAGAAAATAATATTTCGCGTGCACCAATCTAATAATATGAGTCGACGCAACACACAATAAATATTAAATCTCTTTCCTTACTTATAGACTACTTTCATTCACAATGTAGAATAAGATATAGAATAATATATATATATATATATTAATAAAAGAATAAAAAATTGAAAGTGATTTCGCTGTTGCACACAGAGGAGAGAATAATATATGGCACAATACAACTTCGATAAATATTTTACGTATAGATCGACAGTTCAAACGAGCCACGTTCCACGCGTTATTCATCATCGATATTATTCACTGTCGTTCAATAAAAATTTCAACACCGAATGCGTGTCACGAAGTTGAATTTATCTACACTCGACCTAACAAAACCCAAACGCTGCACCGTTACTTCGTCTTTATGGTTTGCTGCGTAAAGACAATGCAAATTATTCAAAAGCTTCTGTTCACGATCTCTTTTAGAATTTGCGTAACAGTGAACCCGTCATTGTATTATTTCCTGATGTAATTGCGATATATATATATATATATATGTACGAGGATTTGCGGCATGAAAGAAACTCTCGTTTAACTGCGCCCATTATAATTTAGAGAAAGGAGCTTATACTCTATGCGTTATTGTGCGAGAGAACAATTATTGAAAATAATAAACGCGTGAAAAATATGATATGCGAGAATAGAATGTAGGAAACTGTCGTCGTTACGTAAATTTATTTGTTTATTTCCGCTGTAATTGCAAAATACGATGCGCGATATGATAAATGTACAAGGTGTCATCGTTATAACGAATTTTACAAGCGTTACAATGTAATTTCGCTTGTTTATTTTATTACACAATTGTCCAGTTGAATGAGAGAACGATACCTGGATTCTCTGTTACATGCATTTTAATAGTCATAAATAAATTCTATTACATTCTTATACATATTAGCGCGAATAATGCAATTATATTTGCAAATTTCAAATTGAATAATTTCTGACGATTCAACGATATAAATACGGGGAAAAAAGAATTTTATTATTCGTGATAATTTACAGTAGTAAATTTGCAATAAAAACACGTTTCTTGTATTTGATGCAAGAAGGTGATGATCTTGGTATTATATTTTAATTACTTAGTAATGTGATATACGAACGATCGAAATATCATTGACAATTTTATCGTGGTCGTCAAATAATTCTATTTATTCGTTTATTATTGCGATTATTTGTTGATTACGAAATTCATGATACGCATAAAATAAAATAAAATATCATTGGCTAGGTGAGAAATATCTTTTTTTACACATTCATCTGCGTGTCTATTCTGTTTAATAAAATTTTTAATCATTCCGAGCTTGTTAATAAATACGGGTGCAAAAATATCGTGGCGCAAGAGATTATAAATAGATATTGGCAATATTAACGAGATCGCGATCGAAGTAAAATAAGTTTATACCAGTTGCAATTCCAGAAGCTGATATAAGCTTTATTGATATCGTAGATGTGGTAAATAGAGCATGCCACGAGCTCGATAAATTCTATCGCGATTTAAAAAAATCGTGGGTCGTATTTGAGATAAAAGTCGGAATAATTCACGATGCAAGGAAGCTGATGCGTAAACTCTCCCGTTTATGCGCGACATGCAACAGGTTTCTACGTCTGCTCAAACTGTCTACACATACGCGCGTGGACAAAAGCGTTTTATCGACAGAAACAAATGAAAGAATTGTTTTAAAAGCTTCTTTTCTTCCTCTCTCTTTCTTTTTCTTCTTTTAACACAATTTACAGACACGTCGAAAATAATAAAAATCTGAATTTTAGTATCATATAAACTAGAAAAGTAAAATTAATAATTATTCGATGAATCTTTCTTTCTCGCAAAATGGAAAAAAAGGTATCAATATGTTTCGATCAATTTTAGAAAAATTAAAAATTTTTAGCTTTACGAGTTTCTTCATTTGAAAAATATATTATTCAATGTGTACTAATTCTTATACTAGGAAAAAAAAAAAAAAAAAAAGAAACATACACGAGAATTGTATAGAAATTATATAGAAAAGGCCACGCTTCGTTGCTTTTAGTGACCTTGAAATATATTTACCAGGAATAATATTCCGAACAACTTTTCCTTATACATATAACCGTCACTTCGTATCGTACTTTATAGTTTCAGACTGCGTTCGAGGTAGGTAATAAATAAATTTTTGAAAACCGGACACCGAATTTGTACGTAAGAAAATACGTTTAAAAAAGTAAAAAGCGACAAGAACGAGTTGGATAATATTTTTTGAAGGGTCCGATCACATATTCATGTTTCGAATGGCAGTGTGTCGTGGCTGCCATTCCTCATGCATATGAACGGAATTTTTTTTAACCATTTTATTATAACATACCAGCAACGGCAAAAATAGTCTTAAACAGCCTTGAAAGAAAATACTGTCATAAATTTCAACTGGATATTTTTTAATTATTTTAAATCTAATTTGAAATTGGATACAATCCAATTTTGATCCAAATCGATTTGCAAAGCATCCAATAATTAGAATGGATAAAACCAAACCCTAAACTTAACTTAAAACTCTTCAAAGATATATATATATTTTATTAAAGATTCAATAAAACGAAATTCGAACCGCAACTCGAACAAAATTTAACCGCATTTCGAGAAAAAAAATTCATCGCACAGAAATTAAATTATATTAGATTTCTTGGAACAAATCACCAACATATGTACAGCAATATTGAAGAGAGATTGAAAAAGGAAACGGTTCGTCCAACAGATATAATAAGAGTTTCATAAAAATTGATCGAGTTACCCTCCCCTTCCCTCCACCGTTGTTTCCATCGTTGTAGCAACAACGATAGGAAGCGTAGCGTAGCGAGAAACGCGAGAGTGCACGCGAGAGAGGAAGGCATCGGCAAGCGGAACTCTAGAATTCCACGGCTAGCTCTCCTCCTCTGGGTTTTCGCGATTGACTGTGTTTAACGGGCGAGACAAGCGAGCGCGTGGGCGCGTATATTCTCAGAGGCGACTCGAACAAGGCGAATTCCACGCTGGATTACGACGATCGCTTGCTTCACAGACGGCTCGTGAATGGCCCACGCCTCCGAGAGAAATAGATAAATGACCAGACGCGTATTCCGCTTTATCACGGCATGGGAAACGCGGCCCCTCGACATCGGCGATCCCTTGCTAAATGCGAAATGAAATCGGGATGGAAGTGTCGACCGCCAAGCTGTTACTGTCTCTGCGCGTTGAGAAGAGTTTCGTTCCCTCTCGATGAAAAAGCGTGTTGACGCTCTTTTAGCATTCTATTTTTTTCTTTTTTTTTTTAATCGTTCCTTCTCTTCTTCTTCTTGTATCTTTCTATTTTCTTGCTATCCGTTTTTTACTTTATTTTTCTTTCGTCGCTTTGTTCTGATTTGTGGACTGCGAATAGTAGTTTATGTAAATTTATATTTTTTGCAAACACTATTATATTGTTGGCTGCCAACATCAATTACGTGTAGTTACTGGGAGTGTATTCGTAGTTGACAGTTAAGGTGTTAAAGAAATAGGATCGAGATAAAGGCTTGTTTTATCGCAGAAATGGTATGACGAGTATTTTATGTTGAATATTTGTTCTATACTTGTTTGGTAGAGATATATATATATATATATGTATTCTTTTTTTCTTGCAGATTTTTCATAAACGTACACAAACATCTGTAGATTATCGATTGGAAAATATTTTAGTATTTTTTAATTTGGTTGATTGCTTGATGATTCTTTCGTTTTCTTTTTTTCAATGATTATTCGTTATGTTTTCTCACATAGAATGAACATATATTAGTAAATTTGAATTCCATGCACTTTTATTCGTATAATAGAATCCTGATTCAAATTTCAAATAACTTTTTAGAAAATCTAAAATTTTTTAAAATTGATCATTTCAATTACGTAGAAATATTTCAATATTTTAAAAACGTTACAAATTTTTCTTGATTGTTCAATGTTATATTAATACACATAATATATATATATATATATAAAATATATTCTTTTTAAATAATTAATTTGATTAGAAATTTTTAAAAATTAAAATAATAACAAACGTATTAATTTTCGTACTTTCCTCCATTATCTAGATTTCATTTTCGTATATATCAGATTTTTATAGTTACATGAAAAGATTGCTAAAAAGATAATAAAATACGACATAGTTAATCCCAATTAGTTTAAATGTTATGCGAATAATTTTTGTAATACATAAATTAATAATTCTGAGAAAAACAAAAAGAAAAGAAAAGCAGAAAAGCAAATCGAGCATACATGGAATATTCGAATACGCGTTTAGCATCGAGCAACACTACTCGAATACAGAGATAATTTCAATAGACTACGGTCGGAACAACAGTATTCATTGACCAGTAAACTCGTGTTATCTACGTAATCGCGTGTCGAGGACTCACCGATATAGAGAGGAGAGGTGTCGTAGGCGTTGCAGGGGCCGGCGTGTCGCGTCTCGAGGACGAAGCCGGTAACGCAGGCGTCCTTGACGATGTGACACCAGCTTGGATAGGTGATATTGTTGGTGGCGCACAACATGGTCGCCGATGGGTCTCGATCACGGTGTGTCCGGTTCCGGACGCGCTCCCGCTTCCGGGGACAACGATAGGTGCAGGTCACGCAACGTGGCCGGCCCGACTTCATCTCCGACAGACACGTCTGCCCCTCGCGACAACGAATCGTGGTACAGTCTGCGTTCTCTGTAAACGAGAAGAAGAGAGTGGTCAGCTTTTTGGAAATTATTTTATCGATTTATTTAGACTTTGAACGATCGTGCAATAAGTTTTATAGAAATTTGGGTGGGAAAAGTAATTATCACATTGATTTTAAGAGAAATAATTTCTAGTTTGGCGAAAGAAATGTCATATTTTTGATAAAAATGAGTGATAAATCTGGTGTTTAGGAACAGTGGTATGTACAATTGTATTTTCTCTCTCTCTCTCTCTCTCTTTCTTTTTTTTTGTAATAGAGAAGAAATTTTGAAGCAGCAGGAACTTCTTGTGTCAAAAATTGTTTAAATGCGAATTTTTTATCTTTAAGTGTTAATGTTTCTATTAATTAGATTTGTGTAATGGAACTGATTAATTTTCGATAGTATTTTTATAAATATTAATAAAATAAAATTTCCACATAAGAGGAAAAAAATCATAATTATATAAGTGGATTACAGATCTTTATGGGAGTATGAAAATTTTAAATGGGCGAAAGTTTCAACAGTATGAAAAATAAAAATTGTCTCGTTTAAATTATTTAGGAGATAATTTTCAACTTTTCAAATTGTCGAACGAAGCAAATCTTTTATGATATGAATTTGCATAAATATTCTTGATCCACTGATTAAGATCAATGTGTTTGACACTTGAGTTGATTTTAGCGAATAAAACGGTACATCTTTCGGTGTTCCACAATTTTTCAGACAAGATGAGATTATAGATACGCGATGTATGCTTATGAGCCCCGAGATGTGTATTTTGCAAGCCGTTCGTGGGGGATTAAGTCATGTTAGAGATTCGTTTTTGTTTGTATAACTGTTTCTGCTTTTTCGTCTCGTTGGAGGATGATGTCATTCGAATCTTCTTTTTCCTGTAAAAAAAGTTATAATTATATTCAATTAAATAATCGCCTTCTTTTTGCTGTTACTCGTATTATACTTTTTAAATAATTATTACAAGCTCGTTAAATATATTATTTTAGTTTGATTATGGTTGCTGATTTTTTTTTTAACGATAATACAAAAATTATGATTTTGAGAAAAACAATTTTGAATCAATGGAAAATATATTAAATATCGCATCGAAATAACAAATTGCAAGTTCATAATTTCGAAAATAGAATTCTAATAAAAATTATCAGCAATAATGATTTTTTTCTATGTGCATTTATCAATATTCCATAATATATACACGCGCAAATATGTGTATTTTATTTTTTTTTTTTTTAATTAAAATTTCATCATCAAATATAGGCATATCTCTTCCAGACATGTCTCTAGCCTTTCATAAAATGACTACATATCCGGTTTTAGACTCAGAGTATTCTTCTTTTTACTTTAAGGTAGCCGTTACATCAATAGTATGGTTATTAGCAATAAGATGTAGAAAAGAACGGAATATGGTGCTATATTATTATGTTGATTATTTTTTTTATTCTTCAAAGAATCTTTGAATCTTTCCCTCTATGTTTCTCCCTGGAAACAGGTATAATTCCGTCCATTTAAAAATTTCATTTTATACGCATAAAATATTTTCTACATACTTATATTTATCGTTCAATAAAGTTGACATGATTTAAAGTTCAATATTATTACGTACTTTTATACCTAATAAATCAACTTTTTTCCCCGTTTCAAAGAATTTCATATTTTTTCGTATCTTTCCAATTTCCCTATTTTCAATTTAAACATTTTCAAACTAATTTCGATCAAATTCTCATTTCCACTTATATAATTTCACACGAATGATTTAAGTTAAGTATTCAATATTCGATAAATATTTTAATAATTTCAATAAAAAAAAAAATAAATAAATAACAATTAGATCAACAATTCGAGCAAAGAGCAAAAGCTTGAATCGTTCGAGAAATGCAAGTTCACGGCCATCATTCGTTGTACCAAGGCCTTGAGAACTCATATCGGATCGACCTTCCTCATCCTCGCGGAAGATCGAGTGGCAGCTAAAATCACGGATGTGGATTGATTTTCGCGAACGCGAGACATCATCGGGGAACGTGCACGTTACGTAATAGCTGTATGTATGGCACTGAAAGGAACTGGCTAGTAGTAGAAGGCTACTCTGACGAGGCAGAAACGAGAGACAGGTTCAATCGTCGAATTAGACGCGCTCTATCTTCGTCCACTCGGTAGATTCGTGCGGTGACTCGTTCGCAGACACGATTACTGCAATAATATGTCGTTACACCTACTTGGGTCAATGGCCCACTTCTCACGGGGGGATCGTGTAATGTATTGCTCATTTTTCATCCTGCCAGTCGTCAACGCGTACGCGACCCGATGAAACGTTACGCAATTCGTGCATCGACCGTCCACCTTCGAATAAATAATCACTGGCCGGCGGATCAGCTATAAATTGTTCTAGAATTTTTTCCAAGTTTTTTTCAGTTTTTAACTCTTTTGTACGTTTTCGAATAGGAAGTAGGATTATCGTTGGAATAATCGTTTGTTCTAATCTATCACAAAAATTATAAATATTTTTTAATCTCGAACGCAGGGGATATAGCTTTACAATTATATAGCTATACAATTTTTATTCTTTTGTCTTAATTTAAAAAATTGTCTTAATTCTTAATTTAAAATATTATGATTAATCAATTCTTTCAATAACGTTAATTTCGAACAATATTTAGTCTCCTATTAGTATTTCCTTCAAATTATATTATTATATCCTTCCTCTCATTTCACAATTTCAAAATTAAAAAAAAGGATCATATAAATTTATGAATATATCAAAAAAAAAAAATCCCTTTTCATCAAATTTACGATACAATTTAATTCCAGAGGAGTGGTACGTTTAATCGGTATTACAAGTCCAATAACACAGATGGTCCAAGTCCATAACACGATGCCATATATTGATCTGTCACGGGCCACGGTTGAATATCAATTATTCCCGGGCATCGTATGAGATATTTGTTGTCTGCCGGACGTCTGACGTACAAAATGGCGGACGTAACATTCTTTGTCTGGTCTAGGGTTCCTAGTGCACGTGCAAGCCACGATCGGAGCAATCATCGTATCACTCGCTTGTGTGGTAGTAGTCTGTGTTGGCCGTACCACGTGGCTGTACTAGATTAATATTAAGTGATTCACACTCCACGTAATGCGATCCATGTTGTTAGACACGATGCTTAGGCTACGTGCGAGTACTTTTATATGAAAGTCTGCACGATCCGCTGGATCTCATTGCCTGTTACATGCTGGTTAATGTTACATTGTTGTACATTGAGAGACATCTGTTTAGCGGGAGCAATTGAATTTATTAAGACACATTACGCAAATTGTAGTACAACGAACATTATACTAATGAGAATACGGAGCTGCGCCTTTATTAAAAAAATATACGAGAACGCGTGTGTGAGAGATGTATCGATAATGATCATCCCGAATGAAGAAGTTTCTGTAAAAATTTTAATGGGATTAATTTATTATTGTATTACTTTTTTTTTTCTTTTAAGCTCAATAACAAGTTTATATCAACATGGTGTAATCTTGTTTATGCGATTACACGTTAATTGCTGATTAATCGCTCGAGTGTTATGATTTATCGTGGATTTCGCAGTGAATTTTTCATTTTAATTATATTATGTTATCCTCTCAATCCTTGTTACGTTACATCACATTATTTCTTTTTGTTTCAATGATTTTGATCATGATTTATTTACGACGTGTACGACGTAAGAAATTAGAAAAATTATCCGTGTGATGTTTTATTCCTATTTTGTTTATTTCAAGTATTACTAATAAAATTTTTATATTTCTAATTCAAAAATTGATTAGAAAAATTATGGTAAAATATCTTTTATCAAGAAAGAGGATAAAAGATAAACGTGTTGTATTCTAATTGTTAAAAATATCTTCTCCATCGAAATATTGCTTCATTCAGAAATTTTCTTAAAATTAAAATATTTTATCGTTTCTTTTATCCTTTTATCCTCTTTTCTCAATTGTGATGATTATGTCGGCATAATATGAGTGTTTAAAATTTTTTTACAAAACAAGAAAAAAGAAAGAAATTTATTATCGATATAAATTGTATAATTCCACAAAATAGATCACAAAGTATGATAAATAAGATTGTCGATGAATAGATAGATAGATACACTTCTTAAATCAAATACTACATTTCACTTGTCATTTCGTAAAGAGATATCAAGGTAATCGTGTCGGTTCCATGCACATTTCCGTACTATAATCAGCACCTACATTGTGTCAATGCTATACGCCAGGTTGAATGACCAATGACCCTCGTACATAAGACATTGCATAACATTACGTTCAGTTTCTTAGTCATTACGTATCAAACGATACGGTAAATCGCAGTGACTCGTTGCCTTTGACATTTAAATCATTCACTGAGTACATAACAGCAATCACCGCGGAAAAATAAACGAGAGAAAAGTTTATCTGTTATTATTCTAGAATTATTATAGACTACTTATAATGGTGATTGCATTTCTCTCTTGTTCTCAAAAGAACGGATATTAACACGTGCAAATAAATTCGTGATTTCCACAAGTTCTAAACTTCTCCTCAGAAATTGATAGATCAAATGGATTTATTTTATATTTTTACTTTCTTACTGTATGTTAATACATTTATAGGACGCTTTTAGAGGCTTTTCGATTTTAAGAGCCAAACAAATTAAATATGTAAAAATGTCGATCGGGCAACAATAGATGAAGCGAGATAGAAAAATATAGTGCCATATCTTCGTCATATCTTCGCAATCTCTCGTAAAAAATTGATTACGACTTAATAATAAATAAGTCTCAATTGATATTTTTATATGTGTAATATTTGACATAACATTTAGAATCGATCTAGATCCATTTTACCCACTTCGTGTATTTTTAAAAAATTCTAGATTTCCATTTTAAATTAATAACAGCATTAAAATTAGAAGCAAACCGCGAAAATAAATTTATTATCGTCATATCGATCTTTAATTATGAAATTTATAAATTT